CAAACAGAAACAGCATAGCGAGAATTTTAAGTCGCGAACCATTGCTTGATGGTAGACATGCAGATAATTTAGGATACGTAAATTCTGTTGATGAGGCGCATAAACTTATTGCGGAATTTGAAACAGGATTGACGACGAAGTTTTCTTTCTTTAAAGCTGTCAAAGGTTTCGGGAACACCGGTATATATATATATATACATATATATTGATATAGCTCTTTGGCATTACAAAGCTTTGCTATCGCTATTGTGCATTCTCACTAGTTTATCTAGTTCAAGTCCTCTGGCATGGCTTGGATGATACCACAATTGTGGAATCATTCGGGTTAACTTAATGCTTACATCTCCTTCCTCGGACAGAAGTCACAAAATACTGGGGGAAGATGCATGAGATATTTAAGGAGCATAAATTCGTTTTTCACTGGTGTGCCTTTCCTAATTTTGGGAAGGAAAGTGTTCAATTGCCAACACGGCATAGATAAAACAACTGGAGAGAAAAGGAAACGAAAAGATGCAGAAGAAGTACTGTGTATAATAATTTCTTTTTATCCTCAACCTTTGTGTTACTGTCAACTATGGCTTGCTAATTCGAAAGGTCAAATACATGAATGGGTCATATGACATCGATCTCAGAATACTTTTAGGACAAACGTGATAACACTTCAATCTTGGCTAAATTGAAGATGGTTTAGAAGTTAACAATTATAAGAACTTTTCTCTAACATATGCTGCTGACAAAGGAGAAAATATATGCAATTCTGCATTTTTTGCTTTCTATCAAGCAATCATATGTTGGCTCCTTATCATGCTATGACACTTCCGTTTTGTCACATTCCAAAAAATAACTTGAGAAATACACTGTCACTCATCTTACACTGTTATATTTACCTATTACAGAAGGCCGAAAACAAAGATTTTGTTTTCAAGAAAATAAGATTTCTTTTCCAAGACACAAGGAAGTTTGACTGCAAAGCACAGATAAAAATGCAATAAATTTTATTTTTTTCAGAGAACAAGGTAGTTATACTCATGTATAAAAAGAACAAATCCAGTTTAATAAATCAGATATAAGGCATGACTCCTTTTCTTCCATCCCCACTCAAAACAAGCAAACACACCTATATAGGTTCCAGTCTGGTCTGCAAATGAAAAGGAGGAAGGTGATCACTACTAAATTAAGCATTAGGGTTCTTATTTATAACATATTGATTATTGTATACTGGTATCAAGAAATTAAGGTTGCAAGTAGCAGCCAGCTGAGTTATAGTTTGAGTTTTATCAAGTCCATTACTTTGTTAAATTTAGAGTAACCTTGTCTTGAGAGAAGGAAATTGAGGAGCTGTAATATACTTATCATCAATTAGGGACCACAAAGAAAAATTTATTTATAGAGACTTTTGAAGGAGAGGGGTAAGACTTGTGACAAGCTGGCAGACATATAGATAAACTTTACTGCTAAATGGGTTACAATACAAAGTGCTCAGTATTTGGATCAGCTATGGCTCAACTTAAACTTTGCTTTAGCTTCAAGTTTAATCCTTTGTGGTTTCCTTTCTCTGTGTTTATTTTTCAAGTTATATACACAGAAGAACACAAAAATGACAAGGAATGCTTTTGAATATTAAGAGGCTGGAATAAGCAAGAAACCAAAACTGAATTTTAAACAGTACAAAGTTAATTTGATCTTCCAATGTTATTTAATTTTAACCATTAATAGAATTTGCTATTTAGATTTATCCCCTCCATTTTTCTGGATATTGTGAGCAAAAACAAACAATTATCACAAAATGCATGGTATACAATGGTTTGATTCACCAATGTGGCAAAGGCCTTTCACTGTCTATCCATAAAAAGGGAAATAGTTTGTAAAATGTAAGACATTCTGCATCTTGAGTGTATACTTATTCATCCATGCAAAATTAAAGGTTACTTTAAATAAATGTGAAAGATTGATAGGATTATCAGACCCCTGATAACAATTACTGATGTGCTGATTTGTTGTACTTAAAGGTTATGATTTTAGCGGAAATAGTGGAAGAAATTTCTGGACCTGGAATTTTGTTGCAAATGTCTGTTTAAGTCAGTTTAAGTCAGTTATAAACTCTCCTGTTTCAAGATTACATGATTGCCACACCAGAACCTTTTGTATTCTATATTGTGCACCATGTTATGATTATGGTTTCAATAATAAAAGGTGCTGACTCAAGAACTTTGCAAAATATCTCTACATACAAAGAAATAGATTGTGGTTATGTACTCCAAATAGCAGGTCACACCAGTCTTCTGTAAGGAAGTAGCAGAAATTGCTATGGTGGTTTTGGTGGATGGGAAGAAAAATCCACCAAAACCACTTTATTCTATGTGTTAAGAGTTATGATAATCATTATGAACGTTTGGTCGGTCAGCAATTGTGCACCATAAAAAATAATTAGCCAGAGCACTAACTGCTAATTAGTGGTATAAATCTTTTGTCTCCCTGAACATCTAACAGTGGCTATAGATAAAATTAAAAAAATATATTGTTGATGGTTTTGGTCAAAGTTTTGGTGGATGTTCCCTAATGACATCCACCAAAACTACGTAACATCTGAGCACCTTTTAAATACGTAAAATATCTGCATAAAATTGCGTAAAATGTTTTATGATACTACAATCGAACAATAAATTAATACTTACCATTTCTTGAGTAAAAAGTTTTGACGCAATTTCCCAAACAAATAATACACTTAGGTCATCGGGATAAGTCGGCATGTTGTCGTAGCTTCGTAATTTTAATTTAGTATAACAAGTCATGAGTTGTCCATCATTCCATCTCAGTCCCTCTCGACCAAGGTGGTTTTGGTGGATGGAATCTAATGCTGACCGTAATAACAAGCCACCGGTGGGCTCTGGGTTGATGCGAAAACAACTTCGTCAAACAATCGGAAAATCCGAAAATGAACGACGATGACTCGCGCGCATTCCCGAAACGAAACGCTGTTCGCAATAGGGCAGAAGCAGGCAGAAGGCAGTAACTTTTTCGACAGGTTCTCAACTGAAGAAAATTGGACAAATTTTGAAAGCTTCTGACCACGATGGCCGGTTTTAACCCACGAAGTAAGACATGTTTTATTATGTTGTTCTCTTTACTATCTACGGTTGGCGATTGAAAGATCTGAAAAAATGCATATGGCCCATAGATGCATTTTATATCGTCAAAAGTTTTGACGATATAAATTTCCTTGCCTGAATTCAGCGATTTTCAAGATTCACTTCCGCACAGTCGATCATTTGTGTGTGTGTACAGATTTCAGAGTAGACAAGCATACATGCGCTCTTAGCTTTTATCTGCGAACGAGTTCAATTCGATTCAACCGTGAAAGGAAGAGCTACGTGTTTCGTAATTCGCACGAAAAAAAATGTGCTTATACTTCAAAATAGTTTTCATGTACGGTAATTCGCGATTGGTGTTATTGGTTTGTCTTGAATCTCAATTCAAGTTCATAAATCGATTACTTTGCAACAATCTACTGAGATATTAGTCAGAATTACGTTTGTTTCTGCATGTGCGTCGGTTGGGAACAGCGCGACCAATTTGTAGTTCTCAAAATCACTCAAAACCTCTGGTTTCCCCTGACTTATTTATTGCTTTTATATTTTTATTCTTGGCTTTAGTCAGAAATCGTAACTATATATAATCAAAACTTCAGAGAAGAATTTGCGATTCGCACAATCCAGACATTCAGATTTCACATTACAATTTGCTCAACTTCCGCTTTTTATTAGGACGTGTGTCTTTTTCAAAGTCAATTCCTCTTCTGAGATTGATAGATCTATGGAATGCACAAACCATTTCATTCTTGTTGTCTCACCAATTTCCTAACTGTTGCCGAATTACCGTCAAAAGTAAAGAGTAACATGATCCCCCCTGATATTTTAATAACGTTTTCAGTCACGCGAATGCTCCAGTTTGCGTCCCCCTCCCCTCTTCGTCCCTGCATCCTTTTCGAGATAGACGGCTCAAAAACTTATAGAGGTGGGGGTTGCGAGCTACAAAAAACAAAAGAAAACCAAAAAAAAACAAAAAAATATATATATATGTATTGCTTGGGAAAAGCTTGCAAAACAGAAGTACACTTAACCATGCACGTGCCACTCAGAGAGGCGAGAGGGAAAAAAAGGAAGGGGAGAATCTAGGGAGTAGGGGGGAGGGGGGAGGGGGGGGAGGGGTAAAAATTCTACCGAGGAAATTTTCACAAACGTGACATATGGATACATTGTAATGCTACTAATGCTTCTAACCTTTCCTCCTAGCTTGAATAGTGAACGATCATCATATTAATATTGTTATTTTGCAAAAGCAGGGGGGAGGGGGGAAGGGGGTAAAAATTCTACCGAGGAAATTTTCACAAACGTGACATATGGATACATTGTAATGCTACTAATGCTTCTAACCTTTCCTCCTAGCTTGAATAGTGAACGATCATCATATTAATATTGTTATTTTGCAAAAGCAGGCAGAATGGAGGCGTTCAAGACAGGCAAACCAGAGGATAAAGAACTTCTCAGCTTGGCCCATGAAATTGTGTTAATCTGGAGACCACTTGGTGTGATTTTAGGCCTAACAAATGCAACTTTGGATGTAATTGACCAAGACAGTCCTAAAGTGCTGAATAAATCGTATGACATGCTGATAAAGTGGAGGGAGTCACTTGGATCTGAGGCGACTTATAAAAACTTAGCAGTGGGGCTAGATCACGAAATTATTGGAAGGCATGACTTAGTAGAGAAATACTGTCATGAAAGTGGTAAGTAACTCAACACAGGAAAATATTTCATATTCCAATGAACCAGCAACGATTCCTCAAAGCATCGTCACCATATGACTGCACATATAGCAATGTGGCACTACCTTTAATTAGAATAAGCAATTCCAGCATTTTGGAAATCTATTAATAATATGCAGTGCAAGCAATATACTCAAATTAAAACTAAAACAAATTATTTTATTTAAGTCTTGCTTCAAATTTAATGCCTTTTCTGGAGGATTTCTCTTACTAAATTAAGGTAAATACAATATCAATTCCCTTTTCAGTGACATAATTGGGCTAACTTCCTTACAAAACACAACACTGGCTATTGAGAAATGGAGAATAGGTCTCTATATTAAAGAGTGTCACTGACTTCAAAACCACCAGACTGGGTTGAAAAAGAAGAGTCAATGGTTACTGAATCTGTCTCCTTTATCAGATTCCTCTACATCTGAATCCTTGCTCTAATGCTGGTCCAGCTTCTTATTGCACAAACTATTCTCTCTCTTAACCTTTTCACTCCCAGACCAAATTTGTAATTCTCCTTACTGTCAACCATACAATTCTTATGATGTTAGTTCAGAGAATTTTGTATTAGATCAACTAATTATCTCCAAATTGATAGTTTTCTTTATTCTCATAACTTGGCTGGTTGATATTGTAGAGATGTTGTAAGGAGAAATTCTGTCTTGGTCACTCATGGGAGGTAAAGGGTTAAGATTCAAGAAGTCAACCTCACCACCTTTCATGGGACTTTTTATCTCAGTGCAGCTTGACTTATAACTGCTGTTGCTATCTTTACAGGTAATTGATATGATGATGATGATGATGATGATGATGATGATGATGATGAACGATATTTGATAGTTTATTTCTTGGCTGAAGGATGAAGATGCTTCACAACTGTCACATGTCACATGTCACATGGAACAAAATCCCAGAAAAGTTAGAACTACAATAGCAGCACTTTTGTTGCTGATATCATCCAGTTTTGAACTTGCTTGACAGCTGTTTACTTTTCCAACTGGACCAAAATCTGATTCATCTATAGAAGGAAGAAAAAACAGGAACAGAGTAAGAACCATGGCATGACCCTCTTTTGAATGATTAAGGTCATTTAATTAGTTTTTAAACTTTGCATGCATTAAGGCACATTTGTTAAGGATACAATTTTTATGCTTAATGGATTACCTTCTTCATCACCACTACCACAAAGCTTTCTCTATTTGGCTCTTTTTGCAGCATGTGTTCAGCCTGTTTTATATTTTTTTTAAAAAAAATTTAAAAAAAAGTAAATCCACAACAATAAAAATGTACTTCATAACATACCTTTCAAGAAATCTGCAGTTAAATGTTGTTTATTTATGGGATTTACTTTTAACTCCCAATAATACAAATGACAGGGTTACATGACTATACATGTTTAAAAAGCCCATGTGTTACTGATGAACAACATCAACAGCCCAACAAGGCTATTATACTGTTGACTGTTATGAATGTATAAGAATTTTTTTATATCAACTATAGGTGCAACTGCTATTACTGATTCACCTCAAAGTCATAGCCATCCCTAGGACACTAGTTCTTTTCATGCACCCACTGGATACTGTGAGACCTGATACACTCTGAAAATAACAACATATTACACACTGGCAATGGCATTTATATCCAAATACAGTTAGGATTATTCACAGTACAGGGTCTGGAAGGGGTTGCATGCTGTGTGTGAGCTGGCTGAAATTTGGCAACTGATTTGGGAAAATGGAAAAAATTCAATCATGATTTGTGAATTTTATGTCAGCTGAAATGCATGATCTGCTCAATCTGCAGGCCATGTTTCAAACAGATATATTTTCATGACAATCAAACCTTGTGTAGCCAGTGAGAACCAGAGGAATTTCTTATGTGGTTTTGGCCCTTGGCAAATCTCTATGTGTCCCACAAGTGAAATATATGTATGTGAAAAAAATCTAACCAGTTGAATTTATTGTTTTTTCTTGTTTTTGTTGTTGTTGTCTTTTTTTGGTTTTGATTTGTTTTGTTTTTTTTAATAACTCCAATATAAGCAGTGAATGTGACATTTACTCCATCCAAAGCCAATCTTTGGTATTGTACAACTTTGCTCTAGCCTTGAAACAAGTTCCTCGAGTTTTAAATTCTGGGTAAAGTTGTTTTGTACTAAATACTGCAATTGCCAGGCCACACCTTAGCAGCTTCACAAACAATGAAAGATGTCCTAAACTTTTGAGGGAAAAAAATATAGTGCAGAACTGAGACCACTGCATCACTTTCTGAGCTTTTAAAATCACCTGTCAAAGCAAGTTTACAGCTAAAACATGTGAAATGGTGAAACAGAATCTAAGCTCAGTTTCACTGAATCAAGACACTATTACAGATCAGTTTGTTCTTAAAATTACACTTACTTTTCTAAGTACATTGTCTTTTATTTGGCATCCCAATCTTTTTATCCAGAGTTGTTATTTTTCTTTTTAAGTGAAGAATTTTCCAATTTTGAATCCACTTCTGTAAGGGTTTTCCTTTTCTTGAGTGTTCATTACTTGTTTCATATTTGCTATAAGCTCCATTTGTCAACCCATTAAGGCTCTACAGCAATGTCCTTGTCATCACCTTTTTCACTTAGCAACAATCACCTATTATATAAATAATAGAGAGAAATGTGAATACCTCAGCAAACCTTGCAGGTTATTTCATCAAATCAACAGATCTGTTTGTGAAAAGTCATGAAATTATTACTTGGGCTTACTTGAAAACAGGGCAGCATCCCCTTAATTCCCAGGGAAGAGAGCCAGATCCATATGTCCTCTACACTCCAGCCTGAGTCAATAATGCATAGAAATCACAAGCTTACATTTGAGAGGCAAAGTGTGCATGAATTGAAAAGTTAGCTTGAATTTAGTGCTTTGCATGTGGTTGTCCAGCTGTTATAAACCAAAGAAACACTGAACTTATTCAAATTAATTACTGATAAAGGCATCAAACTTTGCCACATTTTAAGCACCTCCTTCTTTAATCCCCTCTTAAGAAAACAAACTCTATGGTTAACTGTAACAAATTTGGTAAAATTTCCTCGTAGCCCCATTCTATTGTAAAACAAATCTGTTTTCCCAATGGCAATGTATTGTTTTTTTTTCATTGTTTTCTCTATCCAAGAACTGAATGCATAATGAAGTATGGGGCTGTGCGGGAATTTTACCCTCAAGCCTAACAATCTACATTTACAAAGGTCACAGAAGCAATTTCCACTCGGGAACGAAATTGAGAACACCACTCTACCTTTCCCTGAAAGACTTTTCTATTGCAACTCTATCTTAAAACAACAGCGGAAGAGACTCATGAAGAGTCGAAACCGTCGGTACTGTTGTAACCACCATTAAAAGTTACACCAATTTGACTGCCTTCGACAACTCTCTGATGGAACACCTTACTCCAAGCAACAATAAATAGCAAGCGGAAATGGTCTCCTTTCTTTCGTCTGGCCTTCTCAGCGAACAGGGGTCGAGATCAGACATAACATCGTAAAACTAACAAGTCATATTTTGTCTCATTTTCTTGTGCATGCCTCAGTATACCTCAATAGCTTACTTGGGTCTTCCAATTCCTTTTTAACAACCTCTTTAACATCTTTTCAACCGAAATAGTGTCATCCTTGCAATAAACTTCGAAATGGCGTAAACGTTCGTCGAGTGTTCGGTTACTCCAGGCGAATTGAGGAAAGTCCTTCCGCAAAAAATCGATCGCTTCTTCGCGTTTTAGGCCTTGTTTGACGTACTTCTGCAACTCACCGCTAAGAAAATCGTCTTCCTTCCACGATGAAAACCTCCTATCCGTCATCTTCGAGAGGACCTAGACGATAACAAGAGACCAGTGCGTATGTCAACTTCCCGCCTTATCTACGATACACGCAATGCATGCTGGTGGTAGCAGCTCTCAGCTGAGTCGAAAAATTTCATTTTATGTTACTTCGATTTTATTTTAATTTAAATTTCAACCCATTTTACTTTCACTTTAACTAAAAAAAAGTAAAGATTAGAATTATGAAAAAAAAAATTTGTAAATAAAAAAAAAAAAACAATAAAATAAGAAATAAAACAATTCGTCCATCAAAATACGGATTTTTACTATTGGCAGTTATGGGCCACCATACTTTTGCTATGGTGCTGAATATAAAGCAGCCAAGGAGTTTGTGAGTTCGTCAAACGATTGGAAAATCCGAACATGAAAGACGGAGATGACTCACGCGCATTCCAGGAAATGGACCGGAAACAAACAATTTCAAAGAAAACTTTTCTGCTTCAGAATATCGCAGTCAGTTCAAAGTCCGTTGTCGGTCCTGTCTCGAAATTCAAGACACGGCTTCTCTGGTTGTCATATCTCAGTTTTGTCTTCACTCATTTGCAAGTTACCGCCTTCTAAACGGAAGAAAATTGGACAGTTTCTGAAAGCCTCTGTTCACGATGGCTGATCGTAAACCACAAAGTAAGACATGATATAATATAATTTTTTCTCTATTACCTACAGTTGGTGGTTGATAGATCTGAAAATGTCGATTGATACATGATTTCGACGACGTAACTTTCCTTACCTAAATTCAAGAATTTTCAAGATCCACTTTCGCACAAGTGATCGCTTGCATCTGTGAACAAATTTCGAAGTAAACAAGCATACAAGCGCCCTTCTATCTACAAACGAGTTCAATTCGATTCAACCGTGAAAGGAAGAGCTGTTTCGTAATTCACTCAAAGAAAAATGTGCCTTATGCTTCAAAATAGTTCTAGTGTAAGATAATTCGCGATTGGTGTTATTGGTTTGTCTTGAATCTCAATTCAAGCCCAAAAATCGCTTACTTTGCAACAACCTACTGATACATTTGAGTCACAAATGTGCGACGGATTGGGAACAGCGCGACCACATTTGCAGATCTTAAAATCACTCAAAAGCTCTGGTTTCCCCTGATTTATTTGCTGTTTTTACCTTTCTTCTCGGCCTTAGTCAGAAATCGTAACTAAGATAATCAAAACAATGCAGAAAAGAATTTTCAATTCGCACAATCCAAACATTTGAGTAGTTAATTGTATTTAGATTTCACATTACAATGTAGATCAACTTCCGCTTTTTAGTGGGAAGTGTGTGTTTCTCAAAGTTAATTTATCTTCCGAGATTGATCAGATCTGTAATGCACAAATTCTTGCTGTCTCACCAATTCCATGATTGTTGCCGAATGAACCGTCGAAAGTAAAACGACGACATCATGCAAAGAACTGAGCGACATGACTCCGACATCTTAATAAAGTTTTCAGTCAGGCGTAGGCTCCAGTTTGCGTCTTTCTTGACGGCTTATACTATTTTGCGAAACGAAACGAAACGAAACGAAACGAAACGAAACGAAATCGGGTCAGATGAAATAAAACAAAAGGAATAATGCAGATATATTTTCTAATAAGGTAAAGATAACTTTCACAAGGATTTTGGAGTAATCGTTCATTAACAAGAAGGATTTTTATTCATTTCGCAAAATAGTAATTTTAGGAGAGTTACTATTTTGCGAAATGGACTATTTTCACCCTGCTGTGACAACATGACCTCTTTCATGTCGCGAAAATACATTTAAACATTACAAATTAGTATATCAACGAAGATTTTGGCCTCCTCTTATTTCTTAAACCGTATTAAAATATATTTCGCAAAATAGTAATTTTAGGAGAGTTACTATTTTGCGAAATGGACCATTTTCACCCCTGCGGTGACAACGTGACCTCTTTCATGTCACGAAAATACATTTAAACATTACAAATTAGTATATCACCGAACATCTTGGCCTCCTCTTATTTCTTAAACCGTATTAAAATATATTTCGCAAAATAGTAATTTTAGGAGAGTTACTATTTTGCGAAATGGACTATTTTCACCCTGCGATGACAACGTGACCTCTTTCATGTCACGAAAATACATTTAAACATTACAAATTAGTATATCACCGAACATTTTGGCCTCCTCTCATTTCTTAAACCGTTTTAAAATATATATTTTGCAAAATAGTAATTTTAGGAGAGTTACTATTTTGCGAAATGGACTATTTTCACCTCTGCGGTGACAACGTGACCTCTTTCATGTCACCAAAATGCATTTAAACATTACAAATTAGTATATCACCGAACATCTTGGCCTCCTCTTATTTCTTAAACCGTTTCAAAATTTATTTCGCAAAATAGTAATTTTAGGAGAGTTACTATTTTGCGAAATGGACAATTTTTACCGCTCAATAATTTTCTTTTCGGGTCACAAAAATACGCTTAAACATTTCATTATAGTATATTCTCGAAGAATTCGGTCACCTCCTCTTTCTCTATCCGGATATAATTAATTTTTCAAAGTAGTAATGTCAGAAAAATTACTGTTTTGCGGAATAGCTCTTGTTATTCTCGTGTCATACAATAGGTTTTCGGTAAGTTTCAATATAAAGCACTATCAAATCTCAAAAGGTCTAAGCTATCTTCACCTATATAAACGTCTTCTAAGTTTATTTCGCGAGGCAGTAATTTTGGAAGAATTACTGTTTTGCAAAATGGACCATAAATGATTTAAATGCCGCCTGAGAAAACTGACTCGTGACAGATTGGGTTTACAGGTCTCACCTTTCCTTGTACGTAAGTGTTTTAATTAGCTGTGGTCTGTACTTCTTCACTGCCAAGCAACAAGGCGGTGTTTTTCACTGTTAACTGGCAGACTGTTCCTGATGCGGGTGGGAAATCGGCCGCTGCGGAGAAAGTCGTCGTTAAGAAATTGCTCGGCGAGGACATATTGGATAGGAAAACGTTTGTAAAGGAAGCAAGAATCATTCAAGAGTTGAAACATCCAAACATTGTGAAGTTCAAGGGAATCTGCAACAATCCCTTCGCCCTTATTCTCGAGTTCCCGCCTGCCGAGTGTAAATAATCCATTTCGCAAAATAAACATTTTTCGGAATTACTACATTCAATTAGTTTAGAAATTACTACATTAAAGAGGAGGTGACCAAGATCTTTGAGAATATACTATAATGTAATGTTTAAATGTATTTTCGTGACATGAAAGAGGTCACGCAAAATAGCAACTCTCCTAAAATTACTATTTTGCGAAATATATTTTAATACGGTTTAAGAAATGAGAGGAAGCCAAAATGTTCGGTAATATACTAATTTGTAATGTTTAAATGTATTTTCGTGACGTAAAAGAGGTCACGTTGTCACCGCAGGGTGAAAATAGTCCATTTCGCAAAATAGTAACTCTCCTAAAATTACTATTTTGCGAAATACATTTTAATACGGTTTAAGAAATAACAGGAGGCCAAAATGTTCGGTAATATACTAATTTGTAATGTTTAAATGTATTCCCGTGACATGAAAGAGGTCACGTTGTCACCGCAGGGGTGAAAATGGTCTATTTCGCAAAATAGTAACTCTCCTAAAATTACTATTTTGCGAAATACATTTTAATACGGTTTAAGAAATAAGAGGAGGCCAAAATCTTCGGTGATATACTAATTTGTAATGTTTAAATGTATTTTTGTGACATGGAAGAGGTCACGTTGTCACCGCAGGGTGAAAATAGTCCATTTCGCAAAATAGTAACTCTCCTAAAATTACTATTTTGCGAAATGAATAAAAATCCTTCTTGTTAATGAACGATTACTCCAAATTCCTTGTGAAAGTTT